TGCCCTCTGTCTGCCCCACCCCCTTTAATATCTCTAACGCTTACCCCCTCCCTGCCCCCTCCTCTCCACGTAGCCGATGCAGCACCCCCTCCTGCCCCCTCCTCACATTGGGGATTCCACATAGCCGGCGCAGCACGCCGCGGTGTCCCCATGTGTTCTGCGCTACCACCCACGCGTCACCATGCCTTCTGTCCGCCCCACACCTCTTTTGTCCCCCTTCCTGGGGTCGGCGGCACTGGGCGGCAGCCCTTAAATAAGCTTACATAAACATTTGTGGAGTTGTAATCACTCTGCGTATACCGTATACTGACTTCATTTAGTTGTCCATATTTGTCCTGAATTGAGGAATAAACTCTTTGGCAAATCGGATCCGTGTCCTTCTCCGGTGGATTTAACAGTGGATGTCGGTCACCGCTGCGCCTCCACCTGAGGGGTTTGGAGGGCCGACAGGAGGGACATTGTCATCGACTTTCGACATCATCCTGACGGGGCAGGGGTCACATGCGGTCTTACCATTACGAGCAAGAATCTAATTACTAGTAATAAAGGTCATCGCTACTAGGAGCAAGGACGCTACTAGGGGCTCCTGGCCGTACTATTAGGAGCAAGGACGCTACTAGTAACAAAGGGCATCCACAAGAGGCCACATCGCACACAAGGCGGACCCGTGCGGTACGGCCGCCCATGAGCCCTGGATGAGGCTCCCGACCCCAGCAAGGTGCCATTGCAAAGCTCTAAAACCCGACGAAACATGTCCTGAACTCAGCGCAGGGAAGGCGGCTTACATCAAGGCAAATGGTATGTTGTGCTTATGAAAGACTAATTAGAGTCTGTAAGTGTCTTGTGTTTATTCAGCTGAGTGCAACCATTTGCCAAGCGTTCCACTTCTAAAGATTGCACACGAGCTTCGGACTACAATATCGCAATATATTAGAAGCCATCTCAGCGGATGAGTGCGCCGCGTTGAAATTGATTGTGATCACTGGAAACCAGATTGTAAGATATTGCAAGTTGCCCCCCCACTTGAGTATTGAGGTATTGCAAACTCTTGACACTTACTAGTTGCGTTCCCTTTGTCATGCGCGTTTGGCGCTCATGGACTCATGAAACTCGACTCATGGAGCTTGGTAAATCAAACTCTTGGTTTGTGAATAAATGCTGTTCAGTTTCGAAGTAGGACAGGCTCTCATCTCCTTGGCTATCTTCATCTACTTCTTGTCGCTGGAAACGGGAACTCTCTCCAGGCAACATTCCGCTTTAACGTGTGTTTTCTCACCACAAACAACTCCACTGACTCATGCAAATTCAAGGAGTCTCTTAGCCCCACAAATTGCTCAAAGCTATGACAACAAACGGGCTCTTGTAGGTGACAGTGATTGGCACCTGGCTCGATCCCGGGTCTCGGCAAGCTTTCGAAATGCAGCACCCCCGTACCCACTTGTGCAGTCGAGGAGCCGACCAGGAATTTGGAAACCTTGGGCGCTGAGAATTCAGCCCGGGCTCGAATCATCGGAGGCTTCTTTTAGCTGCTCTGGTGTGACGCGTGATCTTGAGCTTTCTTCAGAACATATAAGCTGTTACACTCCGGCTACATTGCTTTCCAAATACAACAAGAAAAAGCAACACCACCCCTACCCTCCTTTTCTCCCTGCACTTGCGTAGAGTCAGTCTTTTCTCCTCCACCCTTCACCAACCAGGACCAGCAGCAGGTGTGGCCACGATGTTGCCGGAGTCGATGCGCGGATCGATCAACTTGATGAATAGATCATAAAGATCTTTGCAGGACACCGCCTTGGCGCTCCAAGGAAAAACGAGGAACATCGCGTGATGAGTGGTGGTTTCTAGAAGGTCGCAGGTCTAAGGTCTAAAGGAATTAGACCGGTCTCACACGGGCCCCAAGAGCTGGTGGGCTGTCTTGGGTACCACACGAACATCAATCATAAGCACCGCTAGGTCACCTTCTGCAGGTGGGATGGCACCGCTCCAATAGACATTGAGCTCAGGACGGGGACATCTTGTGCAGTTACAGGCATTTCATGGAATCCAAGCCCTCTGGCACTAAGGACTACCACGATAAGTTGCTGGGTATGAGGGATGCTTGGCTCTGCTTAGGCACTCAACAAGTCAACGAAACATACTCTTGGCAGGCCAACAGGTAACTTCAGCTGACTTTAGTTCCAGTCGAAACATGTAAATTTCATCGTGACAGCGTCTCAATCTATACTTCCTTCCCTGTCCATCATGTAGAGTGAGGTGCAATGGCAAAGACACCGGTCTCGGTCGAGGATGTGAAAACGAAGGATCCAACTTGCCTGGAAACTGGCTGATACGTTGAAACATGCAACAAAAAGCAAAAGAATGTGAATATGGTCCGTACGAGCCCGTTACTCTGGCCTGCACAACATTTTTCCAAACATCTGTAGGACAATCCATTGGCAAATGTTTTGCGCTTCCATTCTTCTTTTCTCAAGGCGAAAGCATTGTCGCCGTGGACCAATTGCAAATGTCCTCCGTGGCTGGAAGCCTTTTGGACACAGGGCCATCAAGCTCGTTTGTCATGTGGCTACAAGACGAACGTGCATGATGCGCTACAAGACTTGCTCAATGCATTCCGGTTCGTAGATCTGAAGTTCCTTGTGCTCGCATCATGAGACCTTAACGATATCCAGCCTCTCATTGAGATGGCTCTTCCCCTTCAAGTTTTTGTCCCGAAACCACAAGACCCCAAAAACTTGAACGGTGTTGGGTCTACAATGGGTCTTTGGATGCTTGATGCTTCAAGGTTCTCGTTTTGAGCTCCGAAGCAGGCCTATTCAGTTCTGATTAGGGAACATTCATCCGAGCGGCCGCACGCTGCCATTCCCAGCCAACATGGCTTGACTCTTGGGATCTTGGATCTCCTCAGCGTCTCAAAGAGAGTTTTCAACTTCCAAAGTAAGTGGGAAATGAAGGCGGCAGCAACATGTAAAATCAAACGATGTAAGTCTGCATCAAACAAACCATCTCTACCACCTCTATATACTCCTCCAGCGTGGGGTGTCAGTGTGCTTGGCACCGGGCATGGGCACCGGGCATGAGACTGGGCCAGGGGCTTGGACAGTCCGAAAGTCCACCCACGAGTAAAAACATCTACACATGGACTCCCATTCTTGTTGGTGCAGCTTCCATGAGCCATGAGCTTCATTGTATAATTCAATGATAGAATATATTCTGCTAGTTCTTGGCGTTTGACCTTGCAAAGGCAACGGCCCTAGGGAATAAAGCCTTCCAGTCATGGCACTGTCACAAGCTTGCACTTCTTCCGATAGCTATTGGCGCGGTGCTTGTTGATCTCCTCCGCCATGCTTTGCAGCACCTGGGGTCATGATATGTTTGCCTGGAATCTTCTCACTTCTCACTGCCTTGAAACACCTTAGAAAAAGAAGCGGAGTAACTAGCGGGGTATTCATTATTGGATCTTTCCCCATTTCTTTCTGCCGACCAGCCGGTGTACTGATGCCACATGATCAAGGGATATTTACGTTGGCCCTACGACAAACGATACAGTGGCTTCAGCGTAGATCGCACAATCCCCAAGAGGTGGTATAGATGGGCCCCCAATCTAAACGACATCTTAGGGGTTGTGCCATCTACTCTGAAACCACTGTATATCTTTGACGTTCCCGCAAGCGGAACGTCGTAGAGTTGCCGAGACACGTGCCACAAGTTGATTGCAACAGTGAGATTCCTGCACAACCCATTTCACAACTTCCATAATGGTAAAGGACACCTTTTCAAGAAACATATGAAATGAAAGGAGCCCATGGCCCATGGTCGAAGTCTTCAGGCCTCCTAAGCATGAACGTCTTTCCAGTGTCAAAGCAACTACCTTTCCAAGGTGCTCTGTCCTGGAGTCGCTATCCAGCCCGCTCTCCGAATCACCCTCTCGCTCTGAGAGGATTAGGGCGCAGTCTGCCTTGCAGCAAAAGGCGCATTGATCAACAGTGCTTAAGTCTTAAGCCTCAGGTTGGACCTGTGGGGAAAGATCATCTGACCTGTGCAACGACCGTCGTGGGTACAACGTACTTTGAAGAACTCTCCTTGACAAAGCTGCCTCATGAACCTCATAAAGTCGGATTTTTGCATCCAAACGACTGCGGCCAAGGGCAAGCGTTCCAGGACGTTGGTGTCCCTTCGTCTGCCCAAATGGTGCGTGACAGTGATCCTGCCACCCGACAAACGAGGAAAACCTCTCAGTGGTAGTGCCACAGGTGGATGTTTGGACTCGTGTGACATGATCTTGGTCTAAAGTGACCAGATAATGTATATTGATACACATATTATAGTGATAACAATATGTTATGTTTAATAGCTTCTTATTACCTCTGGCCCTTCAGGCTTGGGGACTTGAAACATCTCGCAGCTCCTTTCGAATTCACTCTTGCCAGCACGGGAGAAATGGAGGTACAAGCATTGTTCGCGCCTCAGCTGGTGGTCAACAACCGCAAGCCAGGGTGATCAACAACCCCGGGTTTTGATGTCTTGTGGCTACAACTGGGTGGGGAGACACGTGGGAACGCATGATATAAACGCTCAGGCTCAGATGACTCCCTGGGTCAACTGGCCTCGCTCCAAGCTCAAGTCCAAGCCACCATCGCATAGGTTTGGTCGACAAGAGGTGCACTTGACCTTGCAGCACGATTCGACCATAAACAACTAACAACAACATAAAATATACTGTAAATTAAACACATAAGACATCATAAGACCAGGCATAGCGAATACACCAGCGACCCGGCCAGCGACCATTCGGCCATTTCGCCCGGCAGTTCTGCCGAGACGCCGCCGCGGTCCGAAGGACTCTCCGTCCGAACGACTCCCGATCGATGCGATTGGACTCTAAGTGACATTGGCAGGAAGACAAAAGGAGACGAAAAAGGCGAAACTGAGCGGCTCTCCAAACCCATGGCATCTGCCTATGTCGTCAGATTCTTCTTACGCCACTGCTTTCGCGCCCCCTTGCGCGACCACAATGGCAGCTTACGCGCGCAGTTCGTGCAAGAACTGGCTTACGCAACAACTTAGGCCTATGAATTTTAGCACCACACCACCACAGTCACAGCCACAGCTTACCCACGATCATGTTGGGAGGAAGAAACACCGCTTGTAATTAAAGGACAACGGAAAACTAGAGCAAGTTGGCCTTCCCTCAAAGCCTGTTCCACCAAACAATGCTTTGTTGGAGGGAAGGCTTTACTTCATATCAATGGAAACACATGGACACGCAGTGGTATATATCGACTTAATATTGTGGCATATTGTGGACACAAAATGAGCATCTCAGCGCACAAACTACACGATCTGCAAGCTCTTGTCCTTGATTTGGTAATGTCGTCAAGTCACTGCCCGACGCAACGTATCCATCAATGATCTCAAGGATGTCAACGAAATCATCTGGACCTGCTTCAGTTAGAAACAGGCTTATGCAGAAGATCATATCTTGGCCTCCCTTCCCCCCTAAGGTCCTCCAATGCATTTTCCTATCAAACACCCGCTAGACCGGAGGAGAAAACTCCAGAACCCCCTCACAGTTGTGGGACTCCCGCCTGACATCCTGATGCTGTGCGTTTCAAGGCATGGCACATCAATGAGCTGTGACACATGGAAGCCTTCTTCCATCCAAGGCGCATCCAATGAGGAGGACAATTAGCGGGCCATCGGCAGCCTAAGTTCAATTGTTGGAAGGGAGAAACGGATTACACAAGGCAAACTCCTGGCACAGGGGCTGGTTGTCAGAAACCACCAGTTGGGATGATGTACTCAAAACGGTCACTTGCTTCAATAATGTGAGCAATATCAGCAATATCTGGTGCACAGTCCCAAGGTCGCTTCAAGGTCTGGTGGCGATCCGTATGAGCCACTCTGATGAGGATCCTTGAGGGCCAGCCGTCCATCTACGTCTACCTGCACCTCTTCAAGCAAGCAACTGGCCCTAGCCGGATTTGTCCATCGGCCATGAGAACGGTGCTTTGCCGCCTCTTGGCCTGGCGGGCGTCAATCTGGATCCTCATACAGGCGTCTAGGATGAGCCGATGGCTTGGGCCTCCAACCTTCTAGCAATGGCGCCTCATACCTATAAAATAGCAATGGCCTCCAACCTA